GAGTCCAAACAGCTGATAAAAACATCACAATAATCCACAAGTAATCCACACCACTCCAGTCCATCAGTTAACTCCTTAATGAAGTATTTGTTTCTTACAAATGTGCAGCTTTACACTTCACCAGACATTAATTGATGGACTGCAGTGTTGAGGATTACTTATGGATCCTTGTGATGTTTTTATCAGCCGTTTGGACTCTCATTCTGACGGCACCCATTCACTGCAGAGGATCCATTAGTGAGCAAGTGATGGAATGCTATACATTTCTTCAAATCTGTTCTGATGAAGAAACAAACTCATCTACATCTTGGATGGCCTGATGGTGAGTATATTTTCAGCAAATTTTCATTTTTGAATGAACTATTCCTTTAATTAAATCATTTTAAATAATCCACCAACAGGTTTTAAGCAGTTCAATTGCTGTGCTTAAGGGATCTAGAATACGGTCATGCAGAATAAGGAATTAATATGTGCTTTGTAAGTACTACTAAACAGCCAATATGCTAGTAATATGCATGCTAATAAGAAACTAGTTAATAGTGAATAGTGTTAGCATTCACTCTTGTCTGAATGTATGCTATTGTGGTTACTGAAATGAAGTCCTTGTGCTAATAATATTCTCACATATTTGAAACATACATTTTGTTGATTTCACATAACAATGAAGGAAATAGGACACCAAACCCAGAGGTTTCAGCATGTAACTTTGTTCTGAGTCTTTCACATTTCCTGTGATATTTGTAAACTAGCAGTTTTTCATTAATCAGATTTCAGTGGGGAAATCTGTCATAATGTGACAGAAATTTATAACTACGACACTTTGAAGACATTTTAGGCTCATAAACATCAGAATATTACTCTTGGGAATGTCCTGAATGGAATGGGGGAGTGAAAGAGAGAGAGAGAGGCTGGCTTAACATTCCTCATATTCTCACCTAATCAGTAAAAAGCATATGGAGTCCAGGGTGGAATGGATTTATCATACACTAGAGGATGAAGCACATTTCCTAGATAGTAATAATGTGCTCGATGGATGTAGAAATGCACTGTGGGACCTGCTCAGAAGAAGTGTGGATGCATGGGAAATGCACTGGGTGCTGATTGCTCTGGCTCCATCTGCGTTTTATATTTTTGAGGAGATAAGGAGCACCCATTTTTTCTGTGCATAACTTTCATTATTTATGGAAAAAACAGACCTGTGGTCAAAAGAGTAGGTCTCACTGTGATTCGTTCAGTGTGGCTTCACCCACATGCTGTATCTCCACCACCATATGCACTGCGTCGTGTTATCAAGGCAATTAATATTATGTTTTCTGGAATTTGGGAGTCTTTAAATAAGTGGTTTAACCCTATCCAATAGGGTTATACTATAATATACTATACCTACTTACTATTAATTCGTTTTTATTAGTATTAATAAGTTAAAGAATTTATTGAGGGAAAACTCTTAATAGTGAATATGTGTTCCCTAATCTAAATTGTTACCGAGTCAACTATGATGAAGTAAGATGTTAACAGAATTTTTCATGTTTTTTTTTTAATATATTATATTATCTTATTTTATAAATATGAACAAATTGTGTGTGTGTGTGTGTGTGTGTGTGTATTATGAATTGTTGTGTTGAGTTTCACTGCGGCATGTTGTCACAAAACCTTGTGTTGAGTTTCAGTGGGGCATGTTGTCACAAAACCTTGTGTTGAGTTTCAGTGGGGCATGTGGTCACAAAACCTTGTGTTGAGTTTCAGTAGGGCATGTTGTCACAAAACCTTGTGTTGAGTTTCACTGGGGCATGTTGTCTCAAAACCTTGTGTTGAGTTTCACTGGGGCATGTTGTCGCAAAAAGTCAACTGTATCTTTTTTTTCCTGGACTCATGATTAATATAGTGGTTGGGCAAAATAATGTGACCACCCATGGTTATTAACCTATAGGGGTTAGTATCATTTGTGTAGGCTACAGTGAAAAAACAAATGTGGCGATTATTTTTTATCTATATCTTTTCATTGTCTATGTTCTCTAGGTTGAATATCAGTGTGGTATAAGTTATGTTCAGCAGTGTTTAGTACAAGCACTCCGTGAAATGGATGACATGTCAGACTTCCAAAAAGGGCAAATCATGAAAATCTGTTTAGCAGCAGCATCTATAACCTTAACAGTCCAATTTTGGTGTTTTAAGAACATCTGTCTTTCCGATTATGACTGTGTGCACAATGCATAATAAAACTTTATCAGCAAAGAAGAATACTGAGTGAAAATCGAAAGTGAATGACAGGGACTGTTGAACACTGTGTCCAGACAATCCAAAGTCAACGTCTGTGAAAGAACTGTAACTGCAAAAACTTTAGTCACAGACACCAGAGCTAAAAAGCAAAAAAGATGGTGTCATGATCATAAAACCTGGACATTTGCAGCACCAAGATGAACTGCCATGTCCAGATAAATCACCTGACAATCACCCGGCTTCATTATTGTCAAACCATTGTGGGCAGTTTTGGAGAGAAGACTGAGAAGCAGATTTCATCCTCCACCTTCTCTAAATCAACGTTCAGCTGGAGACTATTCAAATGTTGTACTGAATGAATCTAAGAAGCTGGAAGCTAAAGGCAAATGGTGGTAATAAAGAAATACTGCCTATTTCCCGGCTGTCCGTATTCAGAGCTGGGTAGATTACTTGAAAATTGTGATTTGTTACTGATTCCAAATTACATGACAAAAATTGTAGTCAGTAACGTAATCCATTACATTACACTACACATTTTAGGGAATATAATCAGACTACTTTTTGATTACTTTTAGATTACTTTTGACCTAACTCATTTATCACATTGATTTAAATGGGATAATCTTGTACCATAGGGATATAAAAATGCAAAGAAAATATATTCCATTCATTGTTTTTAACAACATAAAGTGCATTAAACATTACGTCAAGGTTTACCAAGCTGGAGTTTGTGAAGGAACTGCAGGGGGTTCGTGAGTTTAATGAAAAGCCAATAATTAATTAAATCATAAAAATTTAAAATTAAAATAAATCCTTTTAAAATAACATGAATCAAAATAAAACACTTACTAAAAAAAAATGACATATTTAATTTGTTTACCTGCATGTCATGTTTAGACTTAATCAACGTCAGAGAACCGTGAACATGCAAATGTGTTACTTAATTATGAACTTGTTACCTTAAAATCCCAGGGGTATAGTTCAAGTAAATATATTGGGTGAAAGAGGTTTTGAATCACTACATTAAAGGGATAGTTCACCCAAAAATGAAAATTTGATGTTTAGATATGATAGACTGCAACGGTTAAAGTTAAAAATCATCATATGTGTTCTACTGAAGAAACAAAGTCACCTACATCTTGGATGCCCTGGGGGTAAGCAGATAAACATCAAATTTTCATTTTTGGATGAACTATCCCTTTAAATGTTAATAAGAAATAACGTGAATTTGTGCATTTTAATGTGTTTGAAATACAAGTCTTCCCAAGACAGTAATACTTGGTTAAATAACCCACTGAGTGATAATTCAAATAAACATTAATGTTTTTCATCAGTAGTTGATGCAATGTTGAAATGTTGAGAAAACGCTTCTTAAAATTGAAATGATTTCTGTAAATCCAGTGGTCAAATGCTGTGTGGCCTCTCAGTTGTCTTTGTAATTATAGCCACCTGACTAATGACTGATCTCTGTGTGAATGTCCACAAAACTGGAAGACTTTCTGAGTACATATAAGCAGGCTATTTGAGAAAGAAACATTTAAAAGATGAAAAAGAGGAATTACGGAGAATCAATCAATTATAAGTAATTGCTATCATGTGAATAACGTAAATCATGTAATCAATAAAAAAGTAACTGTCTGATTATGAGTATTTTAAAATGTAGCTAATTTAATCTAGTTACAGGTGCTTAATTTTTGGAATCTGATTACATAATCTAGATTACATGTAATCAGTTACTACCCAGCTCTGGCCAGATTATTTTGTCGAACCCGTGTTTCTTCTGATCATAAAAAAATTTTGATCTAAAGGCTTCTGCTTAAATGCACGAAATTACTTTCCTAACTCCTTGAATACCGTAAAAAAAAAACATTAAGCACGCACATAATGAAGTTGATTGAGTGAATATCCAGAGTGTGCAGTGCTGGAATACACAAAGAAGAAGCTGAAATATTTTAAAGTTTTTATTTGTTTAATATTGCGAACAGACACGTTTCCCATTGTTGAGTTTCTTTGCTTCACAGTTTTGGTGACTTTGAAAGAAGCACGATCCGAAAAGGCTCGTGACGTCGCCGTCGCCAGCAGGAGCCGGATATCCGCCACGACCGGAAATATCCCATATTTGGGCATTCTTAGCAGGAGCAATGGCAGCTTACATTGAATGTGAACGGCTAGCTTGATGCTGATTGTGTAGTGTAAATGATCGATTTTTAGACATTTTCAACCCATGATCGAGACGGACGAGCGGTGCATTGGAACGTATATATTTTTAAAAATGTCAAAAACCAAGTGCTAGTGACCGATCCGTTAAACCGCTACCAAACCGAAACCAATTAGCACGGCTTTAGCATCCTCGACACCTTTCGTGAATTCTCTCGCTACTCGTAACACCCCCGACTCTCACCCGGTATCCACCGCTCTCCATGCCCGAGCAAGGCCCGAGGATGAACAGCTTCTCCCTCGGCGAGTTGTGCTGGCTCTTCTGCTGCCCGCCCTGTCCGAGTCGCATCGCGGCCAAACTGGCGTTCCTGCCGCCCGAGCCCACGTACTCCATCCACACGGATGCAAGCGGCGCGACCAGCCTGCATCTCACCGAGCGCGCCGACTGGCAGTACTCCCAACGCGAGCTGGACGCCGTGGAGGTGCTGGTGACCCGAACCAGCCGCGGGAACCGGGTCGGCTGCATGTTCGTCCGCTGCGCGCCCGCTAGCCGCTACACGCTGCTGTTCTCTCACGGCAACGCCGTGGATCTGGGCCAGATGTGCAGCTTCTACATCGGCCTCGGCTCCAGGATCAACTGTAACGTGTTCTCCTATGATTACTCGGGTTATGGGGTCAGTACCGGGAAACCGTCCGAGAAGAACCTATACGCTGATATCGAAGCGGCCTGGCAGGTGCTGAGGAACAAGTGAGTGTTTCTGAGCAGGTGCCCAATTGTTCTGTGATTGTGTGATGTTTCCCAGCACACTGTATAATACTACTGTTTTCCTTATGAAATGCATGGATGGGGATGCATGAAATGAATGTAATTTATTGACCCCTGAAGTTCCAGATTTTCTTATTTGATGTGTTTTATAAAGATCTGTATTGCTGTTAAGCTCATCCTATGTAGTGAAACACCAGAGATAAACTGGTAATCAGTTGATGCTATTACTAATAATATTTATAGCCTATTTATGTATATACACACGCGCGCGTGCGCACACACACACACTGCTGTTCAAAAGTTTGGGATCAGTAAGATTTTTAATGTGTTGTAAAGAAGTCTTCTGTTCATCAAGGCTGCATTTATTTGACCAAAAATACAGAAACTATTTCTATAATTTATTTCTGTGATGCAAAGCTGAATTTTCAGCATAATTACTCCAGCATTATCAGCTAACATGACAGCATCAGGTAAAACGACTAGTATTGGTCGATTTGTTATTGGCTCTTTATTATTTAGTGGCCTGCTGATTTTAATACTTGAATCATCTTTGAACCAGCCCACTTTTTTGCTAAGTTAAAGGTGGGGTAAGCGATTTCTGGTAGCCAATGTTGACATTTGAAATCACTAAAACAAACACGCCCCTACCCCAAAAGTGTCCTGCTGATTTTAATACTTGAATCATCTTTGAACCAGCCCACTTTTTTTGCTAAGTTAAAGGTGGGGTAAGCGATTTCAGGTAGCCAATGTTGACATTTGAAATCACTAAAACAAACACGCCCCTACCCCAAAAGTGTCTCGCCCCTTTTTTGATAGCTACACCCCACACATACGTACGCAACCCAGGCAACGATTAGTTCTGTGAAACAAAGCAAAACTGCTGCTGCGTTCTATTCATGACGTATTGACACAAATTTCAAATGATTTTCAACGGTCGCTTTGTCGCGTCCAGTGTACTAGACAGACTTTAGCTGTTGCAGCGCAGACACGGTGTTACTCACCTATCGAGAAGAAACAAAGCAACCTCGGCGTCCGATCGCAGGTCTTCCGCTCCTTGAGTTCTCTCCAGCGCTGGAAAGCTGATCCGATATTTACACGGGTCCTACTTCTTGCCTTAAGCCTTCTTTTGTTCCGCAGACGGTTTCCTCTTTTGTTTTTTATCCACCATCTCTATCTTTCTAGCCTGTCTGTCACCCGAAGTTATAATGATTTGTAGCAGTCCGTTTACTTGTGATATTTGTTAATAAATTAATTTTGTTTTAGACAGCCTGGTGAAAATAAAGCATCTGGGGCTTTGCACAATGTGAGGTATATAGGAATGAGACATTTGTTGGTTGGACAATGACAGTCTGGCTCCATATTGGTGGAAAAGGTGCAATAGGCTCGTTTGACTATAGGTTCAGACTTTTTTGCATTTTCTGTATTGGTTTTGGGAAATCTGAGGAATTCTGTGACAAGAATTTAAATATAAAATGTTTTAAATAGAGCTTGTTGGTAATGTGAAGTAGGGCTGTGCGATATGGACAAAAAAAACCTATCGCGATTTCTTTGGTCAATTTTGCGATTTCGATTTTAATCACGATTTTGACCCACACAGACATGCTTTACAGTCATAAAAGCATTCAGTGTGAATTTGAAACATTTTTCCAAAAGAAAACCAATTAGAGCTTTATCAAAAAGCTGTAACATGTCTCTAGAACAGACATAAGGCAAAATAATCACTAAGTAAAGGTGTAACAAAATGTCTCTAGAATAGACATATGGCAGAAAAAAATAAAAAATCCCGTGTCCAGGGATTTTTTTTGCCATGCATTGGTCATAGAGCTCTTTGTGGCGTTGCCTCAGATGTTGAACTAGATTTGTTGCGCCAAGTTCACACGTACTCCATCTGCAGTGCGTATACAGTATGTGTATGCGGTGCAGAAGCAGCACGGACTCATTTTGCTTTCGCACAGGACAGTCCGCTCCTGATCCGTAGCTGTTTACCACAAACACAACGTTTATCCAATATTTTGATTTCAAATCCAAACGTTGTTTCTGAAAATGCTTTTTCAGCATTGTGATTCTCTTTTATCACAGTACAGTAATACAATCTTTCATAGACATTCACGTTTAAACTCAATAAATATAACTTTGTTTTCCTACCACCACGAGTGCCATCTATTATTGCCTTGTTTACCTAACAAGTGCACTTTTAAGTGCACTTTTCCTTGTTTTAAATCTAGCCAAAAGCCACGTGTTGACTGTGAAACAGTAGACTTTAATTATATACATTTATCGTGTAATTACTACATTTCCGTGTCAATCCATGTTAATTTTTACCGCGAAATAATGCGGTCATTTTAATTCAGCGCGTGCAGCACAGCAGAAATAGATTCCGTGCAGAAACGATCGCAGCATGACTGCTGCAGATGGACTGCTCCTGGAGCGCACTACCGGACCGCAATCGCTTGCAGTGTGAACGCTCTGATCCGTTAACATGGGCACGGAAAAAATACGCACCACAGACGGTTAAATCGCGATTTTATGACGATTCCGAATAATCGCACAGCCCTAATGTGAAGCATAATCAATTTAGCTTAAGTATTTAGTAAACATGGGATGTGTAGAACTTGTCAGAAGTTCCTTCTGCTGAAAAATCTGTAGCAGAGTTTCTGCTGAAATTTCCGCAGAATTCCGTGGGTGCAGATTCCATGTGGGCTTGTGTGTGATCACATCCTCTATACTGAATGGTCAATCCGGGCATCTGCTGATCTTTCTTGCTGATTCAACTCTTTAGTCATGAGAAGAAGTTGAGGACTCCAAGCAGGCATCACATGACCCACATGAGTATTCTCACTACATCGAACCGAGAAAACCTTTGATTGTTCCATTGGCTAAACTGATCAGTTAATCAGTTAGAACAACAACTGACCTCATATTTTGGTCCACGGATGGTATTTTAACCATTGGACTTTCTCCTGACCAAACAGAATAGCTTATTTTGTCTTCCAGAGGCAATCCAAGACAAAATGCCTTTTGAGACTAATGATTTATAACCGGTTAAGATCCTTTAACAAACTCATTAGAAAGACAATTGTACAAAGTGCTTTATCTTTAATAATATATAATGGGAGATGTTTACACTGGAGAGTGTAAATATCTGTAATTATTTTTGAAGTAAGAACAGGATCATTTTGTTCGCACATCTGGCAGTGGTTATGTAATCTAATGAGCAATGGAGGCTGGTTGAATGCAAAATATACATGGTTGGTTTGGTTTCTCTGCAGGCAGCATTTTAAGGCATTATATACATGCTCATTTCGGCTCAATTTTAATGAAGCATTGCATTTATTTTCATGTAGAAGCCAATACATTGTGCTCGGTGGAAAAAAATTTATCCAAGATGGTGTGCACCAAAAAATAATCTTAAATATTATTTATACAATGCTTAGTTGAGAATGGGCTGTTTTGCTTGAATATTTTTGTGTGCTATATTGCGTTGTTAGCAACATCCTAACTCCAATATCTAGCCTATTGAAATCAATTGTGAGTCCAGTCTCTTGTGCACTTTGTGTGAGAATTGCTGTTTGTGTGACATGCAGAGTTGCTGTCTATTAAGACACTATGTAAGTTCCCTAGTATTTGCTGTTAAACAGCATTTCAAAAATAGATTCCTCACATCAGCTACTTCTGATGAACTGTAGCTGGTAAGTGTTTTTTCCTTCAGTTTTTAATGGCTGTTCTGGGGTTACTGGTGCTAGTTTGTCAATCAAATTTTCCAGGAAACCATTAGGAAATGAAGCATTTTTATTACGGCCATAAGGAAGCTCAAATACTGCTTCGTAGCAATAATCAATTATTTATAGAGTTTGATTCTTAGTTTGTTAGGTTCCTGTTTCTTCTGTAAATGCTGATGTTGAAACTGAAATTTAACATGGAACAGAAGTAGTGTTTTATTTTTAGGATGCACACTTAGCAGTGTGTTGTCCTTCACAGGGCCACTTGAAATAAACTGAAATAAAATTAAAAGGAAAAAAGCCCTCAGCTTATTTTATTTTAGCTAGTTGTCAAGGTAACAGTTCTCATTTTTACTTAGTTTAACTTGATGTACCAAAATAACTAAAACTGAAATAAAAACTATATAGACATTTAAGAAATATTAAAAAAAACGAATAAAGATGACAAACAACAAAATTACTTAATTATTAACTTAAAAAAAAAACTAAAATAAAAACAACACATCTGAAAATAAAAACTAATGAAAATATTAATTATTCTTTCTAATGGTACTAAAGTAATATAGGTCGTTCAGGGGTGCAAGCTAAGTCCTGCTCCTGTAGAGTTTACATCCAAACCCTATCAACAGCCTGTATATGAGGCCCAAGTATTATATGGGCAATATTCGAGTTTAACTGTAATTGAGAATCTGTTTTTTTATTTTTCTTCTCTGTGACTCTTTGTCCAGGAATATAGTCTATGCAAATGCTTAATTTTGTGTTATGAATTGCTGAAGTGCTTGCATAGCTTGAAATGTTTGCATGTGTATATACGTGCTTGTATTATATTTTTATCCTTAACTGCCGTTTACTAATGGCAGCACTTGCAGAAGTTCCTGTGTAATTACTGTACTGTGTGCAGTAGCCCTTCAGTTTGACTCGCTTTAACCTTCCACTACGCTGACAGCTCTACCCTGAAATTGATCTGGTGACGTACCGAGTGTTGAAAATACTCATATGGCAGGGTAAATGAACTCTGAGCCTCTAGTACGTTTGCTAGCACAACAGTAGTAAGTGACTGCATTCTCTGTAGGTTACACAGGATGTGCAAACGTTTGCTGAACATTAATGTCGTGTTTATTTGGTGATGCAAAGATTATAATCATACTGGACTTCATTTCAGAGTTGACAAAGTAATCTAAAATTCATTGGATTGTGAAATTAGTTTTAATATTAGATGAATGCCAGAAACAACAGTCTGAGGACCCTACGTGCTGCTGCATT